GGGCTGGGTCTCTTCTCCTGGGGTCTTTGATCCTATAGGAAGGGTATACCAGAAAAAGATCTAAGAATTTTTTGCTAAATGAATTGATAGGTTAGTTATTGAGAGAGCTAGAGGCTGGCATGATTAAGTGACGAAAACATCATCACCAGACAACAGAAAGGGGGTAAAGATATGTATCGATGTTTGGGGTCGGTCATGTGGACCTGTACATAAAACACTGCTATGGTGAAAAAGTGGGGGAGGACATCAGGCAGCACTGCCTGGGATATGTACCCTGAAGTTTTGTGGCACCAAGTGTGGGACAGAAACATCACTGCAGGGGATTTTGTATGGGGCTATTTTTTTCTGTTTTTAGATGGACGAGATTATGAAAAAAAGGGGAAGTCTTCTGTAATTGACATATACAACCTTGATGGATCCAGACCAGACAAAATGTGTCATTATGAGAACGGGTTTTTTCTTGGCTAGTTGAGTTAGTTTAATGAAAACAGGTCGCTTTAAAAACATAATTTTTCATATGAATTGGAAAACTGTCTTCACAGATTAGAAGAGGCTGCAGCTCCCAGACAAGTTATTAGACTACACAGTTTAAACACCTGAAGAGCAGATTTATAAATTTCAAGAAATGAAATAAAAGTGGTTTTACTGTTGAGAAAGTTGACAATGCTGAGTTTTGTTAGCTTGCCAATGCCTTATACTATAATTTAAATAATTACTTTTCCATTAAATTTCAAACGGACAATGTAATTGGGATCAAAATTATTATCATTAAACTAAAATCACAAACAAAACTTGATTTATCATTTTTGTAAACTATTTAGAAAGTATAACCTTTATTTATTTTTATTTAAAAGTCGTATATCATTAAGCAAATGAAGACCCTCTTTGTAGCTTACAAAAGTATTTACCAAGTCAGCATCTGTGGGAGCCGAGATAGCATGAAGACAGTTTTGTTGACATTAAGAAGTGGCAATATTACTCATCGCCGCTGGCCAGCATAATCTCAAAATCAAAATTCATTACCGTTAATGTGTATCTTCTTCAGCGAACTACAGTTGAGTGACTGGCATTTTCAAATGTTAGCTGTCTAATGCGATGAACTTAATGGTGGAAAAGAATCAGCGAAATAAATATCCGTTGGCTAATAAGAGAATAAGAGATAAGGACCCCTAAAACTTTATGTTATATAGCCCTCACAACTGCTTAACAATTTAATGTTTGGTTTAGATAAGAATTTGGACCCTGTTACCGAGGATTCTAGTGCAAACAATGGTGATTGGAAGTCTGTAAATCATGTAACTCTTCCATAATATCTTCGGCACAAAATTACCGCGCCCTATCTCCAGACACAATCGCGAAAAAGACAGAAACAGCTCTACATAAAAACCGTGGCAGAGAAATGTCTTTATCAAAAGTTGTGTATTGTCAATCACTCTTTTTGTTCGATGATTACGTGCTATTGTGTGGTCATATAGATAAACGATGGGATTTGCGGCGATAGATGCACCGTGCTCACAAAGTGACGGTTTTCGAGCTTACATCAAACGTAGCAGTAAATGTTGCCGTGTGACATTTCAAGCCTTCTTCCTACGCTCCGAGGCATAAAATTTAATACAGAATCCCGATAGAGTGATCCATTTCTGCGATAATTAAGTGATATTTTGTTGATCAAAGCAAGCATCTTTACAGTCGTTTCAATGTTTCATCGAAAACGCCAGTCTCGTAAATCAATGAAACTCAAGTTTCTACTTCCAAACTGGCCATTACTTTCAGAATGCGAATGACTTATCTATACAGGGCGCTGTTGAAATGACAACATTAGCCAGTGTGTATATAATAATTTAGATAATGTCAAAAAAATGAATAGTCTGTTTTGAGAGGCTAATTGAGTTTTGCATCAGCAACAGTTTTAGTTGGATACAGTTATTGGTTCCAGGAGTGTTCAAACAAAAAAGTACATGAGCAAATTTCAGTAAAATGGGTTTACTGGCGTGGAAGAAAAATGTGTTATTTGTGGGGGGAGGTTGGAAGGGGAAGTTTTGTATTGAGACCGATGTCATTATTCAATATTTCAAGGGGAAATAATATAATGACTAGAGACAAGACCTTGTTTACACGAACCTGTCATATTTTACGGTGTTTTGATGCCTGGTGAAAAGATTTGATTATGTTGAAAGGTTCTCCTTCATTAGTAGGGCAATTTTTCCAAGGACCCTCCGCCAATACCGAAAGGCCCGACTACAATACTTTTTTGTTCTCATCACTTTTGATGGAATAAAAACAAACTCTACTTCTATTACAAATGACATATTCAACAAATGAATGTGTATTTACTTTAGAGAGTGACTGAAAACGAACGTCAATAGCATATTAGCTACACCTCGCAGGAAATCCATACTTCCTGATGCGGAGGCTGAGTGAAACTTTTTTCAATTCATCTACTCATAATTTATTGCCAAGTATAATTACAGATTATTTGTAATTCTATATCATAATTTGAGAGTTCAAAGGCAAAGATTTTCATGTAAGGATCAGTATCCAGTCTGCTCTTTCATGGAATGACCTTTTAAAAGCTTCCTGATGATAAGTCAATGCCTGATGACATCATACTTTGAAGATTTTCTGTATACATCAAAGTGTGCATGGCTTTTAAGCCGCATGGATAAAACTTGAAGATATCAATTATAGGTTGCTCTGATTGACCTGATGTTGAAGGTCAAGGTCAAAAAACAGATGGTTAATACAAATTTTGCGTACAAGAATTTTAAGATTTAATTCATCATTGAAAGTTAAAATTCTCAAGTAATTCAATTCCCATGCTGTACAGAATGGGTCTTATAAAGATGATGGTTTGTCAATTAAGGGGTGTTTTCTTTAAAGAAAGTCAGGATTAAGCTCTGCTGAGGGTCTGATAGCTAGACCTTTAATTACCCAGTATGTAAACAAAGTGTTGCATGATCACAGGCCAGAGTGATCTCCCTTTGCAGAACAGCAAAGGTGTCACGCCACCAACTGTGAGTGAGGCAGGCAATTACACCCAATTATCTTGTTGTGGTCTGGGAAGCGTGTGCTAGCTTAGCATCTGGTCAGCCAATCACAGGGGCTGGAGTCTTGCTTGGTCAGTTACTGGGATCATTCCAAACATGTTTTGTGCATTTGCTTTCTATTTGGTGAACATATAGTATGTCTCCCGTGGACCATTACATAGTTTCTGGCAAGTTCTGGCACTTTGTGTCAGATTCAAACATGCATTATGTACACGTGCACCCGTCAATGGCCCTAATGCATGTTCCATATCCATATGTCAGAACTCAAATATGACTTTGACATGGAAATCGATTACAGAATCCTACTTCAAACAGCAATATCAATTACAATAACATCATAGTTTTGAAATTGTATTCCATTATATTTCAAACATATTAGTTTCTGCCATAACCAGTTCTAACACAAAACAAATTTTGAAATTTTACACCCCATTCTATATTTGAAATATTCTGTATTGATGTAAGGTGTTGCTTGGAAACATTGCGTAGATTGTCGAATACAAATCAGTTTTTCCATTTGATGATAACTTTTCTACAATATGGCTAATTAGCTACCATTATTTCTGATGAAGTGTCTTGTTAGAGAGAATGGAAACTCAAAATTGGCCAGTTTTGTAATAAGTTGTTTAGCATCATGCAACACGATTAAATTTGTTTATGTTAGTCATGGAGGACTGCAGCGACATAATGAACCGTTTACATACGCGTAGTTTCTAATTAAACGATGTCAGAATGAGAAAATCAGCTCGATATCTATTCTGCCGCGGCAACGAGTATTTGTCAGATAAGGTGCAGGGCGGTTTTGTGTATTTCATTCTTAATGAATCTACACCGTTTACATACGATAAAGCATAGAAGAGCTGATGGCTGAGATATTCCCACCTATTACCGTATTTCTGTCAGTAATTACGGAGCCGTTTACCTTGGCTTACTTTGCGGGACTTACTGTAATTGACTTGCCGTAAAACGCTAAAACCAAACCAGCTGTACACAAAAAGCTGTTACGACTTGTGATGTCGGCATGGGCCCTACCTTCAAAACACGATCATAACACTTACCTAGCGCTGCATACGATGTTCATTAATGAACCAGAAACCAGCGTGTAAATAAAATGTGTATTGATTAAAATCGTGAGGGGGTGGTTTTTTCCAGATTTTTTTTTTTATTTAGAAATGTGTAGGCTTACAAACATTTTTAAGATTATTCCGTGTTACAGGTCAGCAGATTCCATTTTGGGAAATTTCCAATTTCTGTCAGATTTTTAAAATTACAAAGATATTTTCCTCATTTCATTGCACACATCTGTTGAATTTTTATCAATTTTTTTTTGTGTTTATATAATAATTGTGTTTTGATGTTTAATATTTGTTACAATATCAACAAATAAATCAAGCTTGTTTGCTAAGAAACGTCAGTCTTTTTAAGAGTTCTGTCAGCATTACATAAAATGTTTTCATCTTTTATTCTTTTTCTACTATGTGATGAAATTAAAACTTGCCACATTTCACTTAATGAGGGCTCTGGGCACTTAGCAGCTTTTGAAAATAAGGTTGATTGCAGAAATTTACAAATTCTTTAAAAAATATCTATAAAAGACCCTTTGTCAGTGTATAATGGTGATGGGTTGAAACTTTCAGACCAGAAAAAATAGGGAATGCATGCTGGTAGTATTAGGTCATTTACGGTATGTTTGGTAATTTTACAGTGGAAACTCAAAACATATGGTGCTTTGGTTCTTTCAAATAATAGCCTACAATAGCAAACGGTAAAATTCCTGTACATAAACATTAAAAGCAACAGTTCAAGATCATTGTGTCCAGATGCACCAGGTTCACAAATATTTTCATATGCAATTCAGAAAACAAAATGATGCTACCAATTCAGAAAACAAAATGATGCTAAGACTTCAGCAAAATGTAGGTTTCATGTGGTTTGAAACTTCTGTATTTACAGGGCAGCACAGAAGTTGAGTAAGAAAAAGAAGCGATTACACCAGCCCCCAGAACCAGAACCTCCACCGTTTCCGACCAAGTTTTATGAAATAATTCGGATGACCCCACCCCCAGCCCCACCATGTTTGTTACGGATGGCTGGACGGCTACAGACACCTGGAGTAGGAAAGGTAAGTCGTATTAGTGACTGCAGTGACCAATCAAAAGGCTTGATACAGATAATCTACCAATGAAAACCATTGTTACATGATGCATAGTAGGAACATGTTATACCATGCAACCAACAGCATTATTGCATCAATGTAATCAAAGATGACTTGGGTTGAAATGCTCTGTGTCATTGAAAAGACTGGCCAGGTTAGCATATCTGCAATAAGCATAACAATTGTTGTAGAAACCATGCACAGACCCCGAATCTCTTGCGCATATTCAGATTATTTTTTGGGAACACCCAATACTATCATTTGAACAGTATGAAACTGACCAGTCAGGACTCCAACTGTTTCTTGGTAGACTGACCAACTGTCTGGCCAAATTGCCTGTCGTGAATGTATGGGCACTGGTCATGCAGTGGTTGCATTGGGGAACCCAGGGGGTCATCACCACCTAATAAAAAAACAGGGCACACAGATAGGCATGTCATCACCACCCCCTGGGAGGGGCAACGTGGCTATTGTCTGTCTTGGGGAGCAAATGTCTTAAAAGTCTGTTGCGTTTGTTTTAGTTCTGTCTTTATCAACAGGATAAGAAATCACGCTTTTTGAAGAACATTTTACAGGATTATAAACTCTTCACATGAAATTATCACTGTGCAACAAAAACACATAAAATTCAATCATTTATACATGGTTAAGAGCATTTTGTTATTTCTGTTCCATTGAAATGTTATGAAAGTTCCTGTTTTATTAGAATGTAATGGCAATTTCTATTCCATTAGAATTTAAAGATAATTCCCCTTCCCTTCCCCTGAACTCAACATAATGAAATAGTTCACGGTTATATTAGATTACTAGATATTTCAACTAAAGTTACTATAAACCACAGTATGGACACTTCAAACATATAGATGCAACTTTGTCTGAGCTGGGATGCGTCCAGAACTCAGATTGTTTCAAAGTTTCACAGTTTTGGGTCCCATGGTGTGTTATCACAGCTGGTCAGTGCACCTAGACAGGTCCTATCACCACTGGAAGTGGACTGTGGCCAGACTAATGGACAGGACCTATTTTATAGGCACCACCCACTGACCGCTGCTCCAACACGAATGTAATGACCGTTTCAAAGAACAGTCAACGAAATTTTATTTATGGATTCTAACAGTCAAGAGTTTTCAGACATTAAATGCTTTTAAAAGCCAATTCTGACAGATACAATTAAGAGCATGTGTTTTCGTCGGTTTGATAAACATCTCTTTGGAAGGTTAATTCAATACCCCGTATCCTCACAGTTTCAGAGGCGCTTTCAGTTTGCATTTGTCATTTTGTTAGTTTTTGATAGATGAAGGTTCCTGATCAAACAAGTCTGAAAAATCAATATTTATTTTTGTTAAATATCAAACATGTTATATAATCAAATGATAAAACTAGACGTACATTTCTATCACATTTCTATCACGCACCTCCTCGTAACGAAAACTTTCAGCCGTCAATGCATGTGTTAGTTCTTTCAAGATTGTAAATATGAATGTATACCCATCCATGATCGTCATAAAGAACGTCGTGTTTCATCTACATTGAATCTTATGATATAAAGTTTCCTGTGATAACGGACACCTGTCGTAACTTTCAAGTCCAGTCCGACTTGAGGTTTTGACTTAATAGCCCAGCAAATTATCCCGTACTTAAAATTGACTGGAGATGAAAACCGCAGGAATTTTTTATCTACTTTTATGGAGACTTTTGTGGTTAAGGATATATCCATGTAAGATTTCAAAGAGTTTGGGGTGTAAAATGGCCAGACTGCATGCATGGTTTATTTTGATGAACAACGTACACTTTCAAGGAGATCGGTTTTAAAACGGCCAAATTGCACACATGGTTTTAAGGACGTACATGTAAAGATTTCCAAAGAGTTTGGTGTTAAATGCATCCAAATTACACACACGTGCTCCTAAAAGTACATAGATATCTTTAGCGATTCTATGGTAATACCGAGCTGTTATTGCTATTGGTGAGGTTCTGAAGACCGAAAGTCAATTAGCAATTATACACCACAGCCTTAATACACTTTGCCAATTCGGTTACTACTCCGTGTAATTTGATATATTTTAATGCAAAACATACAATTAATGTACCTAGCAGAAAATACAGCGAAAAGTTTCCAGATTTTTTTTCTCTGTAATTTACACACTTTTAAAAATGTGCCATGGTGAAATGGAACAAGAAATGTGCAGTTGGCAAGGATTTGAGATGTAGATGGGTTTATTTTTGGTAGGATTAGGGTAGAATTTTGTGTTAAAAGAACAAGGGAAGGTCTTTTTGTTTATCCAGATAATGTTGCTTGGTAAGGTTCCTTCTGATAGCTGATAGGGTTTCATTAGCACTAGGAGGTCCCATGTGAAATGATCATTGCCTGTGGTTCTAGTTTCAAAGTGAAGACAGAATGAAAAGTCTGTGGGTGGAGGTATAATGATAGGGTTTTAATATGGAGACAGAAAAGATACTGATTTGGTGGAAAAGGTCTTGTTTTCATTCAGCAGTGCCAACATGCATGGCACCTATAGGGGAAGTGTTAGCTGTGGCCAGAAGTTCCACACCTTTTAAATGACGTGTGTGTGTGTCGGAAACAGGAAGTTTTCTCTTCGGCTCTGACACCTGGAACACGATACCTTTGTATGTTTTCTTTGGATGGAATAAGCCTTGTTGTAGATACCTGGTTATCTCTACAACATGCCTCCCCCACAATTTGTATTCCCCTTCCATCCCCTTACAACTATCTAAATGAGATACATGTCTGTATCAATAGCTTCAACCCTCCATCTACCCCCCCCCCCCCCCCCCCCCNCCTTCTTTTTCCTCCACACATGGAAATTATTTACAGAGAACACAACATTGTATCTTGCTCCCCATTTTAAATCCTGCTTCCCTCCTCCCCACTGCCTTTACCCTACCTCTCATCTCCTTTTTTTTCAACCACACCCAACCTCATGTGCACTCCTCCCCGTCCCTCTCCCCTCTCCATCCCTTTACACCCCCCCCCCCCCCTCCATCTCCTCTTGCCATAACTCCACTCATCATCATCATTTCCTTGGTCTTAAAATATTGACTTTGGCTAATAAGCTTTATCCATGAGTTGATGTGGCCCCTCCCCACTCCTCCCTCCCCTCCTTGTTTCCTGTTTCTTGATTTATCCCCTGCCCAGGTCCCTCCTCCCCAGACCCCCTGTATTTACCTTGACATGGTGATCTTGATCTATCTATTCTATCACTTTGTCTGTCAGTGGAGCTATGATAGACTGCTCATCAATAGTGTCATATACAAACAGAGGCACCAGGGGGGTAAACTGTCAACTTATCCTCAGAAAAAAAGTTAAAAAATGTATAAAACAAAACAAAAAAGGCAATGAGTAAATTGAGCCAATATATTGTGTTTAGAATTCCAAATCTTTTATAATTTGATTTTTTCAATGATGATAAAAATTGTTTTGGTAAGATCTGTCTCCTACTGTGGTCCCCTAAGATGATGGAGCAGTTGTCAGCATGGAATATAGAATATGGGGAAAGAATGAATGAAGTTTGGGGGGGATGTTTAACTTTAGGCAACAATCTGTCCAAAACATTGATAGGTTTCCAGGCAAAATGCAGAAATGATGTGGGGGCAAATATTTACGGGGAATGGAAGACCAGGAAAGTGACAGCAGCGTGAGATGCATTTTTCCCATCTCTATACTGCTTGATTGTCTTACGAGGAAGATTTTCGGAATTCGTCGGCTTCTCTGAGCAATTCTACAGAAACGACTGAAAAACGGGGCTCTGTCTAATAGCTACAATTGACCTTTATGTGTTTTTGAGTATAGCTGCAGATCTGTGAGATGTTGTTTTCACTTTATGATTCACTATTTTTTGACCCATGAAATAAAAATTAAATAGCAATGTCTTATGAAGTCGTCATTTCCTTAAGAATGGACGATTAACCCAAAATTTTAATCTTTAATTTCTGGAAGAATACAGACCAATCTGTAGAAAGTTTGCAAAAGAAAAAGTGTTTCTTTCTTTTGTAGTCTTACAAAGTTTTGGTATCGTGTGAAACCTCCATGAAAATTAATATTTTTTGACATAAGTTTGCCAAAAATGTCAAATTTATTTGCACCGGATCGTTGCAGGTCATTAGAATTATACTGTTATAAATTAAGCAATAGGTTATCACAGCCCAATTTACATTGGATCAAAAGTAAGCGGACATTCCTGAATTTCTAATAAATTTTAGTCCAAGGCATAAGACGAGAGTTACGGAACATTACATACAAATTCAATTATTGCCACAGCTTCCCTGAGCCCCGCCATTTTGTAACGGGATTTGAATCCGTTCCGTACACCAGCATATGTGTGTACGACGATATTTACTGCAGGGCTCCAAGTAAAAAACAGATGTTAGGCGTAATTATTACATGGAAATACTGGAAATACTAGAAAAAGTAATTGTCACAGGAAATAATTGTGTGAGAATTTTATCTTAGCATAAAACGGCTGTAGATTTTCTGACTGTTACCAGATGTTCAGAAAACTCCCAGAAAAAAATATATTTATTACTTTATATACATACATTGTATATTGATACAGTGTACTTATGTTTCTTATTACCTAAGAAATTAAACATGTTCTACACGCTTTATCAAAGAAAATAGGGGTTGCACTAAAATCTGTATACTATAATCCGAATGTTGTTATTTGGAAAGTGATATATTTGAGTATAATTGATTCTACTTAAAAATGTTATTAAGGTATATTTAATATAATTTTACATATGGTTGGTGACTTGGTCTGTTGTTATGGTAATAATAATGTAAAAAAAAAAGGACTTTGACGTAAAATCATAATTAATAACATTATCAACACAATTTGCTCATATATATGATAATCATATAACATTGAACCTCATATGAAATTTTTAAGTTTCTTCTGTGATAATTTACGAAATTATTTTAGGTAGATTCCGATACTCTAAGATTTTTT